CTTTAAATCGCATTACGTAATCGGAGGGTCGGACAAGCAGAACTCGCGGTGCGTAGCAGACTACACTTTGCGTGCATACCGACTGTGTTCGCTAGGTGTGATTGTATCGTTTGTTTTCGCTATTTTGAGAGAGAGAGAGAGAGAAGAAAAAGGAGGCAGTTTCAAACTTGAATACTAAATATCTTTGAGATGTGATTTTGTTCTTCATACATTTGATCTTAAAATCGCTGAGTCTTAGGCAAGAATAATAGAAAAGCATTGCTGGTACAGAACTAGCGATTCACATCGTGCAGCTAAACCTGTTCGGCCAAGTCCCCGGTACAGGCAGCGCACGATACCCCCTCAAAAAGAAGAAAAAAACGAGGTCGATGATACAAGCGACATTGGCTTGAAAGCCAGTGATGAAACAGAAAGCGAAGCACCAAAATATAAGCTAGCCGATATCGGTAATTTCCATTCAATTTTGCATTTACCTTAGCTTGAATCTGAGTACAAATTTGGACGTAGAAATGAAAGAAGTGATGAACTATTTTCCACTCGGCGTTCGCACACACAGTCACCTCTGCTTGCAGAAGCGTGCACGCGTACCGCGTGTTCGTGTTCGTGTAGGCGCGATTCACATTTTCAAAATGAAATGCAATTTTACGGATTAAAAAATGTTTGTGAAACGCCTCGATACGGACTATTTCAAGGCGGACAAGAAACGGCTAACGAGAAGGAAGCACTGACCGCAGAATCAATATTATTAACAAAAGCAACGAGAAATAATGACAATAAAGGTAATAATCATTAAAATAATATTTATAGAATAATATCGTCCGATGACAGAGAGCTAGAATAAGAATGATGAATAATGATAAACAAATAATTTTGAACGGAAAAAATGAAGAAAAACAATGAACAAGGAAAAAGAATGATAGAGCAATGGAAAAAGGGAATAATAAAAGTAATAATAAAAAACCTTATGATGGCAAGGAAGAAGAATCAGGATGATGAATAATTTTATGTTTAGACTTTAGAATAAGATTAGGAATTAAGTTTGATTTTCATAAAATAAAAGTTAATAGTATTAAACTGCAATTATGCCGGACCTTCAAGAAGAAATTATTGTTATTTAAAAAAAAAAACGTTTAAAAATAAAATTGTTATTACATTTATTAGATCTAGTCTAGACTTCTACTTTTTATTTGTTTATTATTTATATATTTTTTCTTTTTGTTCAAGTTGGTACATGTATGTTCTGTCTTTTTGCGTCGGTTTGACCTGTATAATCTAGTCACAAGTCGCTATCATGAGCTGCCGAGAGCTAACTACATGTAGAGGGGGGATTGTACTCGAGCTTCTCCAGGCCACATAATCTATGGCCATCGGGAAATATCAATCGAAAGTCTTCAAAACTCTTAAAAGCCTTCAGTTTCGACGATCATAAATGCATGGTCCGCCATATTCTCTACTAGATAATTGAATACGTCATAGGTCCAAAGTCAGGAATATCGTCAAACTTAAGGGAGGTATGTAACTAGTTCACTTAACGAAAATCCTGCCCGTTGTAATTTCCCCATACAGTCATGTCTACCGAGTGACACGGACCCCGTAGGTCAGGGGCTACGGGCAGGCTAGTCCGCTACTGCGGACGCTAATTTAACGAGTCTTTTCTCGGGTGTATACCGTAGTCGAAACTCCTCTTTTTCTTAGAAAATATTGCAGCTGCCTGAAACTCAGCTTGATGAATGGCAAGTCGGAAGATATTTCCGGCCAAAACAGAAATTCATATATATACATGCAGTTTTGATAGAAAGATATGAATGCAATTTAACGGCAAGAACCGACAGTCTAATACACAATGCACAGATTCAAAATGGCGATTTGACAAAGCTTGTCGGGCTTGGTTACAGTAACCGCGCATTATGTAACCGCCGAAACTGGCCTATTGTACAGTACATGTATGGCTTGTTATCAAGGCTTGTGGATTTGTTATTGGTAGAACAAAACACCTGTTGTAACATCAGATGCCCATAGGATTGAGCAGGTGATAAATAGTACTGTCTTTGAGGGAGAATAAGTCATTATATTTGACAGCCTGTGAGAATCTCCATAAATTGAGGAAAATTGTGCAGCATAGATTTTGGTTTTCTTTCTTCTGCTTCCTTTTATTTTGGTTTATGCGAAATAGATTTTGGCGAAATTTTCATAAATGAATGATACATGTTGTACACACCTAAAAAACTAATCCAACAACATACATGTACATTGTACAACACCAATGCCCCCCAAAATAACTTGATGTGCTTTCAAAAGCTGATAGACAAAAGGTATCTTTATGAGAATATTATAGTATCTAAATCGATTGTAGTCAAACTCAAAAAGAGCTAGCTGAAAATCAAACAACCATTAAAAGTTATGATATTTGTAATGATATTAAAATAACTATTTCACTAATATAAATTGGCAAATTTTAATGAGTTTATAATTCCTTCCCTAACTGTTCAATAAGATATTTGTGTATCATACATTTCCTTTTCGTTTTCTTTGCTTTCTTCAGGCCGACACCCAATCATTATTGATAGAAACATGTTTAAGTATTATATACATGTATATATTATTAAGCAACGTGAAAATGGAGAACTTTATATAAAGTATATTTTGAATGGTAGGTATTTGTGAATATGAGCAAACATAGAATTTGTTTGTTTATATGTTTACATTATGAAATATAATATACTTACTACAAAGGTGTATTCATGTAATACGATGTGTATAACCTGGGCAAAGGCATGAGGAAAAACAGTTTTTAAGGAACAATTTAGGAAATATAGAAACAAAGCAACTAAATAATAGTGGCCTTTGACGTTTCCGATGTACATGTAACTCCTGACTGATTGCTAGTTTGTCTTCATAGCGAATTTCATAACTGTTTATAATTGAAACAACTTATAACTTCTTATTGATTGTCTGAGTTTTCCTTACAGTTTTTTATCCATTTTTTAATTTTTCTGTCTTCTTTGAAATAATTGTGTTTAAGGTACTACATGTACATGTATGTCCCATTTGCCGGCCAAAAAAATGAAAAGGTTAAAGTCCAACGGCATTTGAAAGATAAGACTAATTTAGAACTTCCCTCAAAACGAAAGGGCTTGAAAATGTCTTTTATTGGAAAAATTACGAGCCTTACCGGTTTTGGTGCAGCCCAAAGATTCAATCAGTTTAATTTTGGCCATTACAAGAAGTGGGTCATTGATGTAGAAAAATGTTCATGTACCTGTACAGCTCATGTTATGTATGTTATTACCAAAGAAAGAAAAAAAAGAGTTAAGTCAGTCACTCAATAGTGTCTGACAGTTAAGTCTAGGAAGTAAAGGGGTTTCCTTGAATAATAGGACACTGCTAACGTTTAATTTTCACAGATAGGACGTACGTGACATGTTCATAATTCCTGTAAAGTTCTACAGAATTTGATGTTGGCTGCAAATGGGATAAAAAGTTCTCCTTTGAAAATTGCTTTGACTCTACATGTATGTGATCATATACATGTATGTACCGATATGCATGAATACATTTTCCATACTTTTCTACTAAAAATGTAGAGTCACTTTTCAAGAAGTGGTTTTAAGTTGGCTGTAATTCTACTGAGCCTTAGGTTCTTCATATGAATGATTTCCACATGATAAGACAAGTTTATGTGTCTGTAAACCATTAAATAAAATGGATAAAGGTATTGAAATTCAGTGTCTGAAAGTTTTAAAAAATAGCAGAATACATGTATGCTTACCGAGAAGGTGGGATACTGACTACGGTAGGAAGAAAATTTAAGGCAAAAATATTTTTATTGTGAATACTTGATTCATGTTAGTCTGTCTGTCTGTCTCTCTCTGGATGAAGATTAATTTCAACTGTAAAGATTAGTAATCAGTAAAACTTCATTGTAATACATTTGATAGATTAGAGATTAAGATCTATGAAAAACATTTGTTTGCAGCTACGTCGAAGGCTGAATTGTCAATGTTAAACAGATAATAAAAGCCAAGTTTACAATATACAAAAGCAGAATTACAATAAACATATGAAGAATCAAGAAATACAAATATAAATGCAATTTTAGCAAATTTAAGTGATTTTAATGTATTTTTTGTAATTTTCATTAAAACCCCACTGAACTACTTATACATGTAGCTACTTGCTCCCTCTATATAGAAAAAAATGCCTAATCGGTGACCATTGGTCCCCCATGATCCTTTTTTTTCTTATGTCAATTGAGAGCTGAGTTGATGAGATAGCCGCCTGTCAGTGACCTCCCTGGGTGGTCTAATCCCTCCTAGCCAAACTAGTACAGACGCCTTTAAGTGGAATAGAAAATATAGTTTGTGCAAATTACACACAATTCAACAAATGATTAGTAGTGGATTCTGAGAAATAATGTATCTCTTTATATATTTTGTCTCAGCCACGAGTCAGCTGTTCCAAAAGATTGCCAACTACTCAACCAACAACCCATCCGATGTCAGCAGTGCTCTAGAAAACCATTCTGATCAGCTGAATAGAGTACATTGTTGTAAGTGACATCTTTTATTTATCGTACAAAATATGAGAGTATTGTTTGTGTTGTCTTTTATTCAGGTAATACCTTCAAAACAGGCAGAATCTACATGTAGATCTTGAATATCTTTAATACAAAGCTACCATGTAGGCCTACCTGATGATAATCGGAGATAAACAATTTTATTTTACATTGTTGTGTACATGTACGTGTTTACATGCATCTTTGTTCTAAAACAGTTGAAAATGTCCATTAAAAGATTCAAATGATTTGTTGTTGTTGTAAAGAATAAATTTATATACAGTGTAACAAGCTTCAAGATTGTAGATGTTTGATTTTATTACAGTATCAATATCTCGCCCCCCCCCCCCCCACCCCCCCCCCCCCCCCCCCCCCCCCCCCCCATTTCAGGACCAGAACATCGGCCTTGGTAAAGCAAGTGATGTTGTCACTTTATCTAAAGAATATCCAGCGACTTACAAAAGTAAAGCATACATTTTGTAGATGTGTGAGTTGTAGAATGAATATTTTTATGGGGAGGATAGTTTGCAGACAACTACCATACATGTTTTGTACGTAAGATGTATTTTCTTTAGTAAGTTACTTTCTCCTATCGTCATCTGCTTCCAGTTTTTGGATATAAACAACTCAAGCCAAATATGTTGAGCCACATAGAAATTTGATGTGTAAAATGCAGGCAGGCATTGTAAAAATGTATAATATAATGTCTAGTGTAGCGGAAGCATCTTTGACTTTGTTATTGGTCGTTTCTTTATTGTTCCAATTCTCTCGTTGCTCCAAATGCTCCGTAAAAACTGCACAAATGAAAATAGATCGAACGGATCATAAATCAACTGTTCATGAAATACATATGCTTAGAGAAAACCTGGTGACTCTTATCAATAATATGCACCTTACAGCTAATTAACCCCTTGTTTTAACCTTTGTTTTAGCTCTTTTCCTGATCTCACACATTAACTTGTACTGCATATAAACTAAATACAATTATAACTGTTTGTTACTACCAGCTTAATTGAACTAAGTCAGACTTCTGACATACATCCTTTGTATCACTTCTGTTCATAATTACAGCATGTATCTTTATAACTAAACCATCTATTAATTATCAATATAAACTTGTATAAATCATATAACAACTTTCTCATATTATGCACCCCAAGTACTCATCTTTGTACATTAACTCAAACTAGGCAAATCTTTGTTTACATATTTGCATACGTGTACCTTTCAATCGCATGCCGTAGTGTACATTACATAACAATGACATTTGGTATGTGAGCCGACCATCACGGCTACTGTTCAATGTAAGTTACATCCATGTAACGTACACAGGGAGTTAGGTAAGAATGAAAGGTACTTCATATAATATTGCATCATTACAGCATTTATATACAACATTCATCACATATCATCATTACATACATGTACCTTCATTCTGCCTTCTTAAGTGCATCTAACATCCATAATACACAAGGATGCCTCCAATATCAACAGATTTTATCCACTGGATATCAAAAAGGGTGCCATTTCTTCACACAAATTTAGTAGCCTCCAGATGGCGCTAAACATAAATATAATCAATCTACTTGATCGACTTAATAAAATGAATTCATATGTATCTTATCATGAGATCTGGGAGGAACAGCACACCTAGCCTCAATTTTTTCAGTGCCATACATGTACATGTAGCTGACAATACTGCCCAAACTCAACTATAATTAATTTTTGTATCATGAAAAGTTGCAGTCCTTGATTTTAACTTTAGACTTCCTTGAACACTGTCCATGATGACCACTGTAAGAAAAGAATCATATTTTCAGCAATTGTCTCACAAAATCTTACCCATGTACATGTACATGTATACATGATAGATATTTGTGAACTTTGTAGCCATAAGAAGATTTAAAGTGACTTGGTAACATTGTTGAAGGTTGATGAAAAAAAAAATCTTTTTTTGTATAAAATGTTACTTACTATATTCCTTCTACTGTACTAACCCTCTGACATGCAAAAAATCCTGAAAAAATTCTCAAACCACGAAGATATCTATGGTTTTCTTTGAAGGCGTCGATGTACGACACCCTCTAACAGTGATTAACAGTAAATTCTACCAACCATTTTTGAATTTTCCCAACCGTTTTTCCATGAAAAAAAAGACATAAAACAGGCTATAAAAAATCTGTCAACACGTAAATGTCTGGAATGGAATGTAGAGCCATTTTATTGCTTTGTGAGATTTCCATTCAGTCAGCTACAATGTAATTAAATTGTAACTAGACATAATACTTGTTTGGAACAAGTATAGGTGGGCTGGTCAACTAAAATTTGAGACAAAATAGAGCAAAAATAAGCAAGATACTGCTAAAAAAACAATGTCATTGATGTAATGATGTAAACGAAATTCACCTTCCATAGGCATAACACGCAACTTCAAAAATTTCTGATATGTGCCCTTTAATCGAAATTTTTACTCTGATGACGTCATCAAAATGAAAAATGATTATTATTGAACTTGTAGAGAATTATCTTAGCTACAACATATCGAAATTTTGAAGAAAATCGATCAATATATACAGAGATACAATCAATTTTACATAAATATGCTGACTTCATAATATGCAAATTTGTATTTTGAGTTCCAAGGCCATTATGATGATGTCACGATACACTTAATGGCCAAATGAGACATGGAATCATATTTCCGACTCATAATCTATCTAAATATGAAAAAACATTGAAGGTCACGGTTCATTCCAAAGAGCTATAATGGATTTTGTATAGGCATGTTTTTGCCCATACATGTATATATATGCTATGTAATAAAGGGGCTCGCGCGCACGGACATTTATCTTGAATTGACGCTCATCTTGTTAATAATGGTCATAAAAAGATAAATATAGTATCAAATTCCTCAAGAAAAATATGAGAAATATCATGAAAGAAAAAAAAATGGTGATTCTATGTTGTGTGATGGTGTAACGCGCGAAAACGCGCGCGCATGCACGTGTGCGCGATTTTTTATAAAATGCTTAAAATGACCTGAAACGTATGCAAAAAAAATTTGAGACGGTTTTGAGCATTTTGAAATTTTGCGCGCGCACTGATGCGCGGACGTACGCGCACGCTTGCGTTTTTTGACCTGAAATTAACCGGACTGATATTGACCTTGATCATGATAAATATGAATGAGAAATACCTTTTGGTTATGAAGATATGATCATGAGATGATTTTCAGAAAATTTCACAAAATGGTGCCTAGATGACGTCATCAGTCAAGGTCAAGGTTGAAAACCTTACCGTGTCTTGTCCATATGCCTATACATATGTGTGCCAAATATCAAAGCATTTGATCGAACCATTTCAAAGTTATCTTGCTAACAAAAAAGTGGGTCAAAATAAGAAAAATAAAGAATAACTAGACATATAATACTTGTTTGGTACAAGTATAGGTGGGCTGGTCAACTAAAATTTGAGACAAAATAGAGCAAAAATAAGCGACATACTGCTTACAAATTCTTAAAAAACAATATCATGTAGATTCATAACGTGAACTAAATTCACCTTCTATAGGCATAACATGCAAATTATGAAGTTTTTGACATGAGGCCTTTAATCAAAATTTTTACTATGATAACGTCATCAAAATGAAAAATAGTTATTACTGCGCTTGTAGAGAATTGTCTTAGCTACAACATATCGAAATTTTGAAGAAAATTGATCAATATTTACAGAGATACAATCAATTTTACATAAATATGCTGACGTCATAATATGCAAATTCGTATTTTGAGTTCCAAGGCCATTGTGATGATGTCACGATACACTTAACGGCCAAATGAGACATGGAATCATATCTCCGACTCATACTCTATCTAAATATGAAAAAAAATTGAGGATCCCGGTGCATTCCAAAGAGCTATAACGGATTTTATATAGGCATATTTTTGCCCATATATGCTATGTATTAAAAGAGCTCGCGCGCACTGACATTTATCTTGAATTGACGCTCATCTTGTTAATAATGGTCATAAAGAGATAAACATGGTATCAAATTCCTTGAAAAAATATGAGATATATCATGAAAGAAAAAAAATGGCGATTCTATGTTTTGTAATGGTGTTACGCGCGAAAACGCGCGCGCATGCTCGTACGCGCGATTTTTTATAAACTGCTTAAAATGATCTGAAACGTATGCAAAATAAATTTGAGACGATTTTGAGCATTTAAAAAATTTGCGCGCGCACTGACGCGCGGACGTACGCGCACGCGCGCGTTTTCTGACCTGATATTGACCGGACTGATATTGACCTTAATCATGATAAATATGATTGAAAAAATCACTTTGGGTTATGAAGATATGATCATGAGTTCATTTTCAGAAAATTTCACAAAATGGCGCCTAGATGACGTCATCAGTCAAGTTCAAGGTTGAACACCTTACTGCGTTATGTCCATATGCCTATACAAATGTGTGCTAAATTTAAAAGCATTTGATTGAACCATTACAAAGTTATCATGCTAACAAAAAAGTGGGTCAAAATAAGAAAAATAAATAATAAATAATAACTAGATTTGTAATACTTGTTTGGAACAAGTATAGGTGGGCTGATCCAACAAAAAATTGAGACAAAATAAAGGGTACATTTGAAATAGCTTTTTGTCTCAGCTACAACATATTCGGAGTTCAGCGTAAATGAAGCTAAAACGACGTACATGTAGATATTGCTCGCGAAAGACGGGAATGTAAAATCAAGTTTTGAGAAAAAGTCATGTCCCATAGAGAATACACGCAAAATGTGAAAAAATTAGCTTGCCTCCTCTAATCGCAAAAATACGCCATGATGCCTTTGTCAAAATGAAAAATTGTGACAACTGGATTTGTAGAGAATTGTCTCAGCTAGAACATATCAAAATTTTAAAGAAAATTAATCAATTTTTAGAAAGATACAATCAATTTTCCAAAAAAATGCTGACGTCATAATAGGCAAATTGAAATTTTGAGTTCGGAGGCCATTATGGTGACGTCATGAGTTAATTGAGGGTCAAATGAGACATGAAATCATATCTCTGATTCATACTCGCTTAAAATATGAAAAAAAATTGGGGTCACCTTGCATCCTAAAGAGCTATAATGGATTTTGCATAGGCATGTTTTTGCCCATATAAGGTATGTATTACAAGAGCTCGCGCGCATTGAAATTTATGTTAAACGGTCGATTATTCAATTATTTATAGTCATAAAGAGACAAACATGGTATCAATTTGTTTGTAAGAATATGTGGAATATTATGAAAGAAAAAAAATGGCGATTCTATGGTGTCTAATAGTTTTACGCGCGAAAACGCGCGCGCATGCGCGTGTGCGCGATTTTTAAAAAAATGCTTAGAATGGCCTAAAACGTATGCAAAATGATTTTGAGACGATTTTGAGCATTTCAAAATTTTGCGCGCGCATTGACGCGCG